TCCTCGCCGTGCTTTTTGCGTGCGGAGGTATATGGGAGTGGGCGGGGGAGCGGATCGGGCTTGCTGGATAACACCGAGAAAAGAGCCTCGGGCACGTAGCTCTGAGCACCGGTTTCGGGGCCTCGCAGCAGCCCTTGATTTCAGTATTAGCTTCATGTGTTGAGTAAAACAAATGCCTTAGAGCTCACCTATTTTTTATTCATAGGGAGCCTGTTAGAAATTTTTGTTTCTTTTAAAGAGAACGCATACCTGTTAGAACAGCAAATATATTCTCTGCCATATGTGCTGAGGAAAGCTGGTAAGTGCTGTCAGCAGTAAAAGTGACTGTATGAACTTGTGACTTGATAGGAGCAGCTGTTTCTGTGCATTTGACACCCAGTACCTTCTTGTGCTTTTATCAACAATTGCATGCTATGTGCAGCCTTTCATAGTGAAAACTGTATTTTTGTGTACTACTATGCCATGTTAAGAGGTGTACTTTAAGATCTTATTCTATGAAGGTAAAATGTCTGTATAGAAATAAACATGTTATTGACTCCCACTCAGATTCTTCAATTCTTTGGGTTTGGGAGCTTCTGTGAATTAAATTCAGCCAATTGTCTAATGAATGGAATTAGGTCTTCCAGAGAAAACAAATAATTATGGCTTTTTAACTGTTTGCCCGATATTTATCTTGTTAATTACTTGTCCAAGCTTATGGTAGGAACTTGGGATGCCACAGGATAGTATAAATGCATACAGATTGTGTAGTTCAGGAGATAGTATTTCAAACCTTCAATTTCATAGTTAATTCTTTTCATTGGAAATAAACTGAGAAAATAGGAAAAAAACCCAGAAATCTTAAAAAAAAAAAGTTTCGGTCAAAGCAGTGCAAACATGTCAAAACTGATACTAGACCAGCACAATCTACAGTCTTTACAAGAGCCAAATAGAAAGATGGCTAACATATCCTTCAATACAATTTTTCAGACATCTCTCTGTATCTTCTTTAAAAAAAACTCTGGTTACCTGCTTTGTGTTTAAAATAGTTCAGGACAAAGGTATGAATAAGTTTTGTCAGTAATTAGCTTATCACTCTACTTATACGCTTTGGTTTCTTCCCTTTATCAGTATAATCCATGAGTAAGCTGTAAGACAGTGCTCATTTGCTATAATAGGTTTAAAACTTAAACTAACCCTTACCTTATTGGATTCAGAATTTGAAAGTGTTAACCTAGAACAAGAAAGATGTTAACATTCTGTCCTGGTTTCGGCAGGGATAGAGTTAACTTTCTTTCTGTGGTTAAACCACAACACATTCATAATGAATGCTAACATTCACTAGCTCCATACAATTAACTTCTAAGTCTGATGCGGGACAAATGATAGTTCAAAGTGCATGCAAATGCTTAGTCCTAACCTAATGAATATTTTTAAATGCGTTTGGTCACTTCAGTCTATGTGTTAACATGCCATTTGGAATACTGATGTACCAGTAATAAAGATGTGATGCTTACCTTGTTTTCTGAACAGAACTAATACAGTATTTTGATGTATCACAGGTAAATTTTTCCATAACCTTATGGAGAAAAAGGACTTTGAAGCATGGCTTGATAACATTTCTATTACATTTCTTTCTCTGACGGACTTGCAGAAAAATGAAACTCTGGATCACCTGATTAGCTTGAGTGGAGCAGTCCAGCTCAGGCACCTCTCCAATAATCTAGAGATTCTCCTCAAGAGGGACTTCCTCAAACTTCTTCCATTGGAACTTAGTTTTTATCTGTTAAAATGGCTTGATCCTCAGACCTTACTCACATGTTGCCTCGTCTCTAAGCAGTGGAATAAGGTTATAAGTGCCTGTACAGAGGTGTGGCAGACTGCATGTAAGAATTTGGGTTGGCAAATAGATGACTCTGTTCAGGATCCTCTACATTGGAAGAAGGTTTACCTAAAGGCTATTTTAAGGATGAAGCAACTGAAGGACCACGAAGCCTTTGAGACATCCTCTTTAATTGGACACAGTGCCAGAGTATATGCACTTTACTATAAAGACGGACTTCTGTGTACAGGTAGGAAGGACAGAAAACCTGGAGTCTTACAATTCTTTGTTTCCCCCCCCCATACGATTAATGACAATTTGCTTTTCCTTTACCAGACAGATTATTTTCGTAGTGCTAACGCAGTTTTGGATGATTCAAAATTACTTTTTTTTCAATTTCTGAAACACGTGGCACACTAATAAACTCATTAGTCACTTTAATAGGAAAACAAGAAGACCAATTTCTTTGGTTAAAAAACCAGTAACAGCAGGTATCATGCTTAGATTAGTAAGCATTTGAGAAGTACAGATATGTACAGGATAACTTCCAGTTAAAGGGACCTTGTCTGGGCTATATGATCGCTGCAGTCTCCCAAGGTGTGGCAGGAAAAGTGTGTCTTCTTCCTTGAAACAGGACAATTTCTCTGATACAGTCTGTAAGCACTTCCAGTTCTTAACGTAAGTGCTTGTATGAAGACCTGTAAACTAGGTTTAACCTTGCTACTAGTCTGACTTGCACATTGTAATGATAATTTCAGCTGCCTCTGTGAAGACTGCAGACTTCAAGATTTCAGTTTGAATTTAAAAACACAGTCAGAACAAATATGAAACCTTAAGTATGAAAGAATAGTAACAAAGTTACAATGAACTGCTGCTGGAGCAATTCCCAAGGATTTCCCAATCACTTGAGATGACAATGCTATAGAATAAATTGGGAATACTGGCTAAGTACTCCCCCATTTGTTGGTACGTTAAGATGGTTACTAGAAACCAAAAACTAGACTCTAGCTAGTCTTTCATTTCCCTTCTCAGCAGGGAATGTAAATACACAGCAAGCGGCATTGTCAAAACTTTCTGAAAAGTGGCACACTTTTGTGCTGAAACCAGGAGAAACAACAGGTGTAAGGGTCTGGGGTTTTATTCTGCTCTCCAAAGCCAGCAGTCTGGACTTACTGTTATGAGTTTTAAAAAAAAAAAAAGAAACTTCAGGGAGAGAAAGGAAACTGGCAGGTGATGGGGCCTGGTATTCATCTGCTGTCTTTTGAGATTTGGTGAACTCCTTTCCTACCTGAAACAAACTAAAGCTTGCAGTATAGTCAGTGGCTCTGCAAACCTGAGTGTGATGTGTCATGTGAAACTTCCATGCGTCTGTTTCAGGAGATTCTGTCAATCAGAGGCAGTGCTGGAATCTATGGAAGATGCTAAAAGGGTATGAGGAAACTGGAAGGCCAGACACCTAGTACCTTAATTAACATGAAAACAGGCTTTGCTGTAGTGCTGAGACTTAAAACTAGGGCTTATTCCCCATTCAAGCAGCTTGAAAGTACTATTTAATGAGGAGAAGTCCAACAAGGAGAAATGCAAAGCCCTGCACGTGAGGAGGAACAACTCCATGGCACCAGTATATGCTGTGGGCCACCCAGCTGGAAAGCAGCTTGGCAGAAAAGGACCCGGGGATCCTGGTGGACACCAAGTTGAACATGAGCCACCAATGTGTCCTTGCTGCAAAGAAGGCTAACGGTATCCTGGGCTGCTTTAGGAGGAGTGTTGCCAGTAGATTGAGGGAGGTGCTCCTTCCCCTCCACTCAGCACTGGTGAGGCCACACCTGGAATACTGTGTCCAGTTCTGGACTCCTCAGTACAAGAGAGACATGGACACACTGGAGAGTCCAACGAAGGGCCATGACGATGATGAAGGGACTGGAGCATCTCTCATATGAAGAAAGACTGAGAGAGCTGAGACTTTTTATCCTAAAAAAAGAGAGGGCTCAGGGAGGATCTTATCAATGTGCATAAATACCTGAAGTGAGGGTGCAAAGAAGATGGAGCCAGGCTCTTTTCAGTGGTGCACAGTGACAGGAAAAGAGGCAGTGGACACAAACTGAAACACAGGAGGTTCCCTCTAAAACACTTTTTTACTGTGAGAGTGATTAAGCACAGGTTGCCCAGGGAGATTGTGGAGTATCCATCCTTCAAGGTATTCAAAAGCTGTCTGGTCACGGTCCTGGGCAACCAGCTCTAGGTGGCCCTGCTTGAGTAGAGGGGTTGGAAGAGTTGACCTCCAGACGTCCCTTCCAACCATAACCATTTTGTGATTCCATGAAAATATATTTAGGACAAACATGGAAGACGAGTATAGGATTTGAAATACTATTTACTCTTTGCTTCCAATTACCCTGTTCTTTTATATTCTAGGATCAGATGACTTGTCTGCAAAACTGTGGGATGTAAGCACAGGTCAGTGCATATATGGTATCCAGACACACACTTGTGCTGCAGTGAAATTTGATGAACAAAAGCTTGTAACAGGATCTTTTGATAACACAGTAGCCTGTTGGGAATGGAGCTCTGGGGCAAAGACACAGCATTTTAGAGGACATACTGGTGCAGGTATGTTGAACTTTTCAATTTGTAATTTCACTAGTCAAGTAACATACATCATCATCAAATGAATTATAATTTAAGTTAGCTCTTTGCACGATAGCCTTTTTTTTTTTAGGCTCTGTCCCAAGACATTTTGGGGTCAGGGGGAGGCGGCCAGAACAGATCTAGATCTGTCTGCCCTTGAATAATGCCAAAGTTCAGCCATGTAGTGTTTTGCAGTTGCATGGAAATAATACTAAATGCCATGGTTATTCAGTACTTTCAAGTCTACCAAAAAGATGCAAACCCTAGGTAAGAGGGAACACATGGCAACAGTAGTTCTTTAGATCCCCAGACTGGAGATGGGCTTACAGCAAAGAGCACAATAGGACCTGGAAATCTGTATTTGCATTTCCCTTGTAATTAACTTCTGTGTTCACTGCTGCAAAATATCCTCAACTCAGCTGTAGGTCTGTTCCCCTGTGAGTAATGAGATGTATCAAATGTACTAATCCTGCTGGAATTTACTTACTAAAACTCTTAAAATAGGAACTAGCTTAAGTTACGTTTTGCCATAATCAAACCATAAAGGAACCACTGATGTACATGCTCTTAATTTGGACAAAAATCAGTAATCTTGCAATGTAAGCTTAGGAATCCAGAGCAACAATTCATGTATACAGTTCAAGAACAACAGTTAAAGCTGTAGTAGTATATGAATTTAGAGGCTATATGACCTAGTTAGTGTCTCATTTGCAGAAAAACATGTGCATAGAGACTGGTATTCCTTATTTAGTACCCTTTTTGCTTGTAGTTTTTAGTGTGGATTACAATGATGAACTTGATATTCTGGTCAGTGGCTCTGCAGACTTCACTGTGAAAGTATGGGCCTTATCAACAGGAACGTGCCTGAATACCCTTACTGGACACACAGAATGGGTCACTAAGGTGGGAATATTGATTTTTAATTAATATTGCAAAACACTTACTTGCAATAAGTTTGTAACGTGTTCTAAATTTCTATTTCCTAATCCTAACCCTGCACCTAGGTGTAGAATCTGAAGAACATCAGGAAATACTGCAAAATAACATTTCAGCAGAAAAAATACCTAAAGAAGCTATAATTAAACCTTTCAGACCATTGAAGATATTTCTATTCCAAAGCAGCTGGAGTTAAATTATGGATTTTTTTGATTCAAAGCTACTTTAAAAATTATGTAGAAAAACTAACGATCTTGATAATCAAAATCTGAGCATGAAAAGTGTTCTGAAGTCAAGAAACAGTATTTTTCTTCTGAGTATTTCAGAACTTGGAAGGTGGGGGGGTGATTCTAGAGGTGAAGTACATATCTTTGCTTATTAATACAGTAAGTTGTCACTAGTAGGAACAAGAAAAGTGTAAACTGTAGTTTCCCTTCAGTTGCAAAAAGTATTTGTATTGTCTTTATACAAGAGTACAGTATGCAGGTTGTCAATGAAGTGAAAAATGCAAATGAAAGTTTGGTTATTTAACAGCATCAACATAAATCATTACATCCTTCAATTACAGGTAGTTTTGCAGAAGTGCAAAGTCAAATCCCTTATGCATAGTCCTGGGGATTATATTCTTCTAAGTGCAGATAAGTATGAAATTAAGGTATGTACCATATATCATACATCTATCATTTCAGTACCCAGGGAAATAAAATGCTTGAGTGCATTGCTGAAGTTTACAAATAATGTAAGACACTATTTTCTCCCATATTCCCTGCTTTTAAAGTTACATACAAGACATGCAACTCTTTGGAAGCTAACTTTTCAATGCTTTCCTTCATGTTCAGATTTAAGTGATAGCTCTATGTGAATGGTAATACAAAAAACAAGTGCTTTTAGTGCATGCCTAATGTGCTAACTTGACAGTGAAGCACTGTCCTGGTTTCAGCTGGGATGGAGTTTATTTTCTTCCTAAAACTCCTCTTTTTTCTAAATCCAGTCCATCCCTGAGTAAGCACTTAACTGGAAGTACTGTTACTGTTGGGGACTTCTGGGTTGGAGACTGCTGTAAATAGTTTGTGGCTATGTTATGTTTTATAACTGAAACATTGTCACATTTCTGTCCAATTGAATGGTTGATTTTTTTGCCGTTCTTTAAAGCACCCATTTTCACTCGGATTTTTTAGGCTAGAAACAACACATACTGCAACAATACTGTAAGACAAGTCACTTACAGAATTGATGTTCCTACCTAAAGGAGAGAAATATTTCTGAAAAAACATGCACACATTTACCCGATGCTTAAAGAGAGACTCTGAGGCTTGCTCTATTTGTGTAACAGTTTATAATGTGAACGTTTTATGGTCTTAAACTCTGTTTTAATTGTAGATTTGATGCTTAAAGAGAGACTCTGAGGCTTGCTCTATTTGTGTAACAGTTTATAATGTGAACGTTTTATGGTCTTAAACTCTGTTTTAATTGTATATTTGGCCTATTGGAAGGGAAATAAACTGCAAGTGCTTAAAAACACTGTCTGTTTCTGAAGATCGCAGCATCTCCCTACAGCCCAGACTGCACTTTGATGGTAAATATATAGTGTGCAGTTCAGCCCTAGGATTATACCAGTGGGACTTTGCCAGCTATGATATTCTCAGGTAAATCTTTCAGTTAAAGACTTAGTCTTCTTTAAATAAATAAGGAGTAGAACATAGTAGTTTTAATAACTTACTTTAGATTTAGGCCAAAAGAATCTTGACAAAAATTCTGTAAACATCTTACTTTACACATGTTGCCAGGTTTAATTCTTATTTATCATCTGTTAATATGAATCATTTGATTGCTGTTTTGGTTTCTGGCCTCAGGCTAGTCCTTTCTCATGTTTTCATTCCATAAGCTGAAGAGTTTCAATATAGACTTAAATGAGACTGCAGTGCTGTAGTTGTGAATGTGAAACTGTAGTGACTAGAAGTAAATGTTGCCATGGAGACTGCTCTGCAGAGAACCTGATGGCCGTTTCTGGGGGTTCTTTGATAAGAAATTAAAAAGACTCTCTTTCCTTATAGCAGTACTGATCTGTCATTCTCGATAACGCTGTGGAATGATAGTGAAATCTATCAGTCTGCAGTAAGGAATCAAAGAGGATCACATTCCGTTTCCATAAAAAGAACGAGGCTGTATCTGTTAGAAATGGTGGCATCAAAGATTGTAACTTATTAAAGAAAAAAATTGCATTTTAGAACTGTTAGCAGACTCTTAATTGAAATGGCCTGAATATTTGTAGAGTTATCTACCATAGGAAGATCTACTCCAAAGAAGTGCTTCTTATGAGTAAGAATAAGTGAGTAATTTCACCTCTTAGTTTACCCTCCCATCTTTCAAAAGAGAAAGATGTTCTCTTACTGCTGAGAACAGATTTGCATCTCCATACATTTTTGTGCCTCAGTTCTGTGCTTTATGTAATGCTGTGATCAAATGCTCAGTCAGTTGTGGACTCATTTCTGTTCCAAGTTTTATTTATTAAGGCAAAAATATCCTAAAGGTGTAGGGGAACTAACAAATACTTTTATTTCTCCCTAAGATGAAAATGCTTAACTTATGCTAAGTGTTAGTAAAACGGCATTCTGTTAAAGACCAATCTTGAATGATTTATCTTCTTATCACAAGAAGGCATTTCTGTGTTTTATTTCCAGCTTTTAAAAGAGTGGTCAAAAGAATAATAAGAGGTTTTACCTTTTAATTTAAAGATAATGAGGCATGAAATCCCTATGAAAATTTACTGTAAAACACAAGTAGATTTGCTCTTTTGTGTGTATCTGGAAACAAGATTTTTTTTTTTTTCCTTGTGCTGTGCAGAATGCCTTTCAAATCGTAATCTTTACTTATGTTCAGAAGGGTCTGTCCTGAATGCACAAAGCCAGAACTGAAACCGCAGGCCTGACTGCAGCTAAGTGTTCAGCTGCTTAATTTGAAAAATTTGCATCCAGTTTTTTTCTAAATCCTTTCAGAATGATGAGTTTAGACACTCATGTTTTAGTAATGCAGGTTCATGACGACATCGTGACAGAGTTTCTAACAGTGTTGTCTTGTCTTCTAGGGTTATCAAACCTCCTGACTTCTCAAATGTGTCCTTGCTGGGCTTTGGAGAGATATTTGCTCTACTGTTTGATAACAGATACCTGTATATAATGGACTTGAGGACAGAAAAACTGATAAGCCGCTGGCCTCTACCAGAGTATAGAAAGTCAAAGAGAGGTTCAAGCTTTTTGGCTGGTGAAATGTCTTGGTTAAATGGACTAAATGGCCGAAATGATATGGGCTTGGTTTTTGCCACCAGTATGCCAGACCATAGTATCCATTTGGTGTTATGGAAAGAACATGGCTGAAAAGCTCACATATGCAGAATCTTCAGGAATATATGGACTGTCAGCAGTGTGTCCATAAAATGAGACTTTGCATGAACCAAAGTTGCACACCTAATGGTATCATCATGCAATGCACAATCATTTACTTTTATTTGGGCATTTGGGATTGGGTTGTTTTGGACATAATGCAATACAGCATGCTAACAGTATTCACCACAAAATTTTGTCTGTACTCATATTTAAGCATACCTATTTGGGCTCTGAACCATAGCTTGTAATGTTTAAACCATTCAAATCCACCATCAAGTCTGAAATGAAGTAGTGCTTGACCTGACTTCTGACCTATTTTTTGTTGTTGAAACAGAAGGTGAAGCTACTATTTTAGAACCATAGGCTTTTGTACATGTAACGGCAAATACTGGTTACAGTGCATGGCTGCTTAACTAAAATGAGAAGATAGCAAACCCTTTCCCTCTCCAGTATCATTCTCTTCAAAATGTTTTTTCCTTACGGTAGCTTTAAATACTTAGCCTTTGAAATAGAAGAATCAGATGAGTCCTTTAACGAGGATCAAATGCTAACAATAATAATTTGTTTAAGTTCGGGAACATGTCAGTATGAACTCTCCTCAGCGAGAATGAGCCAATTTTTCTTCTATCTGATAGAGCTTGCCATTGCAATTAACCTTAGAGAACCTCTGACAGTATTCAGTATTTGCTGATGGTAACTCAGAATGGCTTGATAAGTATTTTATAGTCCATATTTCCTATAGTTTTTATGAGAACGTAACTTAGGTCACAGGTAGGTAGAAATATAATGAATGGGAAGATGATGTTCAATCTCTACAACAAGAGTCACTTTCTTACATTAAATGATGTCTAGCAGCCATTCACTTTTTCCAGAAGTTGCAGTTAATATAATCATGCACTTAAAGTAGTTGCTACATCTAGATTTGGAAAGCGGGCAAATAACAGTGAGGATGGAACATCTCGGGGGGGAAGAAAAAAAAAAAATCAAAAGTCTGAAGAAAAGCATAGGAGTAGAAAAAGGTCTTTTGTTTTGATCATCATAGGAGACCTGATGAGTTACATGAGACACGTGAGTTAACTATCGAGTAGCAAATACCTATCCACATACTTCTGTGGATTTGACATGTACTTAAAGGATGTATCTATAACATCACATGCTTTAGAAATGCTTTAGGTTGGTTTCCCCTCCTCCCTTATAATAAAATCTCCCCTTAATGTCTATTTTTTTTTTTTTTATTTATACAACTTGAAAACATGAGTTTTCATGAAGATTGGCTCATGTCCTTGAAAAGATAAAACTGCCTAGCATTACTATTTTTAGTATGTTTTTTTTTTCTTCCCACTATCCAAGGAGACCTGGTTTCATACTTAATACTGAACAAAGGCCAAGGTTCCCAAATGTATGCAGTATGAATTACACCTGTGGAAGGGGAGTTTTCATATGCAAGAATCAGTGTTTGAGTGATGTGGTAGGAATTACATGAAGTCACAGTGGAGCAGTGTCTCTTGAATACAAAGCTAGAGTCTTAAGTACTCCGTTTTCCACCTTTATTCACACAAACTTACTTTGAAAATGTGTTTGTAGTCAAGGATTTTATGAACTGGAAGCCAAATTCACAGCTCTCGATTCAAACCACACTGACTGGGGCACAAATGATGATCTCTTAAAGCTTTTCTTTTCTCACTCAAAAGTGAAGAAGACTTACATGAAATGGAAAGCTTTCAGTAACTTGCCTTGAAACCCAGTTCTCATAATTCTTAATGTGGGAGTAACTATACTGCGTATGATGTGTGCAGTAACTCAGCTTACTCTAAAGGAGCCACATGATGGGCCACCTATAAAACACTGCATTAACGTTGAAAGATTACTTCACAACAGGAGTGTAGACATGCCAGAAATGTCCTTGCACCCAAATCAGTGAAATCTGGAGTGAATATCTGGACTGCAAGGCTCAAAGAGCGGTCATCAGTGATAAAAAAATCTAATTGGTAACCAGGTAATAGAAGTGTTCTTCAGGGGCTAGAATTGGTTAACTATCAGTGACCCTTATGACGCAGAGTCCACTCAGCAAGTTTCCAACAACACTAATTTGGAGGGGAAGGGGCAACCATGGGAAGGGGAAGCAGTCAATATGCAAGAGAGCAGGGAATGCTATTCTGAGGGTCCTCAACAAACCAGACAAGTGGGCTGACAGAGAGAATGGAGGGGGAAGGGAAAGTGGTGGGCATGGGGTGGGGAGGCACTGCTGCTGTCTGCAGGTACCTAATGAGAAAGTATAGAGAAGACAAAGTCAGACTCATCTCAGCATCATGCAGCAGGACAAGGGCTAACGGTCACAGATTGCAACAAGAGAAATTAACTAGCTCTTCTCCACTGTGAGGGTAGTTTAAGACTGGAACAGGTTGCCCACAGAGATTGTGTCCAGCTTACCTAGACAAAGTCCTGAACAAACCATGCTACCTTACCCTGCTTTGAGCAGGGAGCTGGACTTCCAGATGCCCCTTCTAAACTACATGAGTCTAAAATTCTAAATGGACCTCTTGCCAAGCAAGATAGTACCACTGCTGCAGGCACCTTTGGTGTTAATACAGCTGCCAGTTTGTTGATACAGACTTTGGGAGATGCTGCTGCCACTGTGAAGCAAATACTATGGTTTGTTAAAAGCTGTGAAATGGTAGTTGGGAAGCTATTCTGCCACAAGTATTTCACAAATTGCAGAAAATTTTAAACAAATTAAGAACTCTAAATTTTCCTTTTCTGCATTGTCCCAGAGTATGCAAGCAGAAAAGCATGATGAGAAGCATCCAATACACACTACGCTGCTCTTCTACCCTTTTAGTTTTATAAATGAAGTTTTAGCCTATTACATAGCAGCTGATAATTATTATAAACACAATTAGCAAACAGTTATTTACAGACTGTCTCTTGAAGACTTCCAAGTAAGAGTTCCACCTGGACATTTGCTAGCTAATGATACTAATCCACTAATGGCAGAGCTCCTTAAGGGCATAGGTATGTGCCACCACAAAACAGATGAAGGAAGAAAAACATGACACTGGTGTAGAAATTAAAAAAAGCATACCTGCTCTCACACACACACACTTGTCTCTGTCACTCACTGAAGAGTCAGACTATTACTGCTCCTAGATGTCCCTTCATAGGAAGGTTCCAATACATTGCCACATCAGTACAATGCACATAGCTTTGGGGGCTTAGCAAACAGAAAAAATATGACTGAGATTGTGAAACTACAGTGAGCAAATGTTTTTTGTTTGCTTTGCTTTCCATCTGACCCTTCAGCAGAAGTTAATAACCACTTGACACTATTTTTAGATAGAGGTTGGAGAAGATGCAGCTTCTGTATCCTTACAGCTACATAAGGAAGCAACATAATTCAACTTACCCATCAGATAAAGGACTAAAATCCACCTGATGTGTAATTTTGTGCATGTAGAAACAGTTTGTTATGAGGCTTCAAGGTCGCAGGAAAAAAAAAAACTATTACGTATTATAAGTAGTTGTTTGTCCATCCATCTTTCCACCTGGAAATAGCCACCTTTTCAGTTCACAATAGTCTCTCTCTCTTCAACATCAATCTGTATCCCTTGCCTCTGTTTTAAAGCTTTCCAACACAACTCAGCACTTACCACTTAAGTAATTCAGAACAGCTGTGGATAACAGAAGAGGGATCACCCTTCTTCTTAAACTTACATGTCTCAAAAACCCAGCTGAACAGTCATTTGGATCAGCAAAACTCCAACAGCTATGTTTAGTGTTACAATACATCACCACTTTAACAAACACTGTTTCCAAGAATATAAGGGTTCATTTTTTTACAATTGAAACTGGTAGATTTTGCTCTATTATTTTCACGATGTATTTGTTTACCTTCTACTCAGCCTGGTACATACAAATTTTGTGCCCAGTGACATACAAACTGCAAAAATTAAGCAACGTTACCTTTAATACTAATGACTGTAGTTGTATTTTTTGTACGTAGGTTGAAAACTGTCTTTAGCCTTTTGCATTATTTGAGTAAGATGAGAAATACTGATTTTTTTTTTTTTTTTTAATTGAAAACAAACTCATTTTACATTTTCCAGAAGAAGTAATACCATCTGCATTGATCCTTGGTATCATTAAATCTCATGGCTCTGCTACAAATTCCTGTTTCCCTTAAAAAGAAATACCACTAACAAGTAACAGTTCCACTGTTCCAGCTGGTGTGTTTCCGTATCCTGCCCCTGTGATTATAACGAGTTACAGTGTTAATGCCAATGAAGCTCTTCACCTGGGAGATGCTGTCCCAAGCCATCTTTTAATAGGCACCACTAAGCACAGCTGTATTTTTTTATCCACCAAGTACTTCAGAGGTACAAATAATCAAAAATCAGTTCATTCCTTCTTCAGGTAGTTACAGGTTCATTGTACTAGCTAAAACATACCTGAAGATGGGAAAAGAAAAAGACAGAAAGCTGGAAATCGGTACATTTAACTTTCTAATTTCTGCATGGTTACTTCCTAGGCCTTGAATAATGCCCCTTCATAGTTATAGGCATGTAAGAGAGCTATCTATCATCTCACTATGCCTCAGCTCTTACACCTTACAAAGTTGCAGTACAGACTTTACCTGAGGAACCCAATGCTTAACCAGCATTTGATCACTGTGGACTCATACAAGGTACCATGTCTCAGTTCATAAATCAAATGCATTTACAAATGGCACAGTACATAAAAGGGCTGTTCTCCTAAATCTCTGTAAGATGTAAACTTCACATGGAAGTGATTTTAATGTGATCTTTAAATTATATCCTCTGCCTTCCCACGATACGGGTAGCTCTCCACTTTCCCTCCTTATAACCGAGGTTTCACTTTGAGCTTACAGTACAGTTTGATACAGCACCTTGTTAACATTCATGATTAGTGATGAGTTGTATCTCCACAGTGTAGTATCCCTGATGAGGGATGCTCTGGGAAGGTTTCCTTGAAGGGGCACTCGGCAGTGATAAATGAGGGCAACATCCATGGGAACATTCACACTGTTCCCATAAGCACGTAGGACAGAGTGGACTGAAGTCTGAATCACCTTTCGTGGATCAATTATCATTTTCTTGGGATTGATTACATCTTTCCGGTCAGGCTCTCTGTGAACATGCTGTAATATGTTAACACCTGGCACAGTATTCCAGGATGAAATGTTGAACACATGAGTAGATACAGTTTTTGGGAAGATATGGTTCTCAAAGAGGAAAATGCCAGTCCCTGGGTTTTGCTCCTGAAGACTGCTCATCATTGTTTTCCAGTCTGGGTGCTTAAGGGGAAGAATTATTTCATCAGCATCATTAAGAACCACAAACTTGCTCCTCTGCATGTTACGGTATATACAGTCATTTAGAGCTGTGATTTGTCCATAGTAGCCAATGTGTGCTTCATCTTGCGTGAAGTGCCATTTAGAAGAAACCTTGAGGTGTGAGTTTATTGGCCAGGGAATTATCTCTACAGTTCCTTCTTCCATATAAAACTTCAAGACTTTCTCCATCAGATGGCTGCAGTTGTTCTTATAGATCACCACTTTTTGTACCCCAAGAATCTTGTACATTTCCATACTCTGTATAAACTGCAAGATGTTGTTGTAATTTCCAAACATGGCAGAGATGCACACAGTGAAATCAACAGAAAAGGTCTCAGCCTTGCGGTTTTTAATTTCAAACCTTGGCAGCTGGTCAATATTTCCATGTGGAGACTGATGAATTGATACATGTGTTGGATCACAGTTTTCGGGTTCCAAACAAAGTATATCTGCTGCACCATAAGGGAATCCAAATCTATCTGAGTGAACATCAATTTTTGCTTTTGATACATATATCTTTCCATCAGGCTGACAGCAGAACCAGCAGTACAGTTGTTTTACATCTTCATGGTGGACAATCCCAATCACACGAGTGACTTTGCTTTCTCTGTCGTCAAAGTACGGGGATATAATAAAAGTTCTGTTATCTTTTAATGCTGTTATTGTGCTATTGGTAATTTTCCCTCTACATCTGCTACCTTCCTGAACTATTTTTGGCAGGTGAGAAAGTCTCTGTAACCTAAGATAAGAAAGTGTGACCATTGAAGTTAGAGTAATAATGCACACAGCAGCAGCAAAGTAAGATTTTTTCCCACCACACAACATTTTGAATGTATCTAAATGTGGATGCAAATTTCTTTGTCCTTGCACTTTATGCTGCCGCATCTGCAGAAAAGAAAATACGTAGTATGAGATAATATTGACTCATGATCGTTGCTCAAGAATTTCACAAACAAGATGGGGGGCAAATCTCTCTCACTGTGCACTGACTTAATCAGAGACCCAGCTACTGTGCTTTTATGAAAAAATCCATCACAGAACACACCTTCCTTTAATGGGATGAACGATACTCTATGTGACACTCTGAATGCCTCTATATGTCGGATGTGTGGAACAGTTTCTGTACATGGAGGGTTCTGTGAGAGAATATGATAGAGGTCTATATACAGGAGAACAAGGAGACATTATTCATTACTTTCTATAATCCAAATTTTAGAACATCCAATTAAATAATTAGGCAGTAATTTTTAAAGCAAAACAAAAGCTTTTTCCCCCCTACATAGTGCATATGTAAATTATACACAAAAAAAAACTTCAACCGGACTTCTCACAGACAAGTTAGGGGCAGGTATATAAGTTAAATGTATACAGAATTAATCAAGTTCATAAAAAAAAAAGGCAATTGGGGATTGCACATGAGGGTCCAGATACAATCTCTAGTGTATAAATTCCCTAACTTGCAGTTCACCACAGATGAGACAATACATACAGAGGAAGGTCAATTCGTACAATTCAGCAGAAGACAGGTAAAATCTATGGGGGTATAAAAGTTATTCTTAATTATTAGCTCTACCCTACTTAACCTGTACAAGGCAGGGCTTGCAGGGAAGGTCGCCTCATATTATGCTTGCTAGAGATCTGGGCCTCCTCACACTACCTTAATGCTGGCTCAGCTCCTGGCATAGCTTGGGGGTCAGGTCTTAACCTCTTGCTGCTGCAGGAACAGACAGGCATCCCTGAGTACCTGGATGGCCAAAGTCTTTAGCAGCACTCGTGCTAGCAACTGTTAATGCCTGACAGGGAGCTCATGGCCCTCAAGCAGTAATTTCTGCAAGTGGAGCTCAGATTAAAGTTTCCTCTACAAATTCATCTTTCGGCATCCAGATATGATCCATAAACAGTAAGGTGACAGCAAGTCTCTTCAAAGGCCTGCTTGTACCACAGAGATTCTTGGAAGAAGAGTGTCCCAGATTAATCAAATTCATATTAGATCAGAAAACTGGATTGGTAGAAGAGAGTATCCCCAACTGCCAGCAAGAAGTGTGGAGTAAAATGCCAAGATGGAATAAATTGATCCTATTGCACAAGATGAAGAAAATGTTTCTAGTAGGTATGACATTGCTGCATAAAACCAGCTGCTGAGAAAAAAAATCATACCATGAAAAGACCCAGATTTCTAGGTATATATTTTATGGCTAAAACAGGTAGCAATGTCATAGGTGTAGCAGGTATTGGAAGATTCTCATATTTCTTGTCCTTTCGTTTACTTCTCAGGACTCTTAACAAAATCACTTGCTTAAGTACTTCGTAACCTAAGTATCTTCAGAAAGCATGCACATGCTAAATATCTAACAATAATTTTTCCAAAGCATGTTACTCAGTCTATTCTAAAATAATAATTAAACCAAATATTTCATACTTTTTTCCCCACATTTCACACATGGTGTAAAGCTATTTTGAGAGCCTCTCTCTTGACACTGTTTTGTGATGGAACAGAAAACTAGCATTTTCAAAGGAAAGTAAGAAAGATACAAAACTAGAAAGAACCTAAATCCATTACTTTGATCCAGATATCATACTCAGCAGCTTCATAACTCTGGAAGCGCCTAAATTCACTGGCAACTTCATTGCTTGGCTTTAAAAATTCCCCTAGGGTCTGTTTTTTTGCTTAAACACAGTATTTTCCAACCAGTAAAATGTAGCTTCTGAATACAGCAGTCTAGCTTCTGAATTTCAACTGAGTTTAGCCAAAAAATAATTGCCCATGCCTTCAGAATAATGTGCAATATTTTCACAATTGCTCTTTCATGAAAAAGCAAAGTAAGGAGAACTACGGTCACAACATACCCCTTAAAATACCCCATTTGCCAAGGCTGATATGATTTATAGCTGCCTTTCCTAGCTACCAAGAAATTGCTTTACAGACCAGAACAGTCATAGGGCACCAGAAATCTCACTACATCACATTAGACACAAAGCAGAACAGCAGCAGCAGACTGCACTGACTCTTTTGTCTCTGAAATGGAGAGTCACCCCCAGAAGTCCTTACAATTTAGAGCAGAACTGCAAATACATGGCAAGAGCCTGCTACTGTCATACAACTTTCTGCTGGAGATTTGTGACTAAGAACAACTCAAATTTTTTAAGTCTTTTTATTAAACATTCTAAAATCAGACAAAAAGTTTCCCCTGAGCATTCTTATTCCCCTGTTGTTATGTATTTTAGCATTCTTACAACAGAGAATAGATCACATTTAACATTTTTTCCTTGGTCTTATCTATGAATGACTTAAAATATTGTCCAGTCTTATAGAATAAATAGTTTTTACTACAGAAATATCAAAATATGTCAACATTAAATAATACAATTAATTTATTACCTGTTATTTCTTCTGCTTTTGCTAACTATAAATAATGAACTATTAAAAAAAAAAAAATCTTTTCAACTGTGTTTTGAACAGTGAACATCAGAAAGGAGAAAGTACCTTTTAAAGCAGATAGCTGAGTGAAGTTCTGTTTCAGTCCTCCATTTATTTTTTGCTAAGGTATAATCTACAATTTGTTTACTTTAACCAAATAAAAACATAGATATTTTTAAGATAAATTGCAAGAATTGTTCGATACAGAACAACACTGAGAAAAAAAATGCTGGTACAATACCTAAGACACTTGCTGACACATTTTCAGATGGTTGGTGTTCTTTAATGTCAGTAACAGCAGCCACACCTACCAGAAAAACAAGTTTTCCTTCTCTTGAGCAAAGCATACAGTTGCCTCCCAAGAACTTAATTTAAATTACAAACTTGAGTGTGGAGTTGTTAAAGCAAATCAAGCCTAAGTACTCGGGTGATTTTTTTTTAAGGCTACTTAAGTTTCCTTCTGGAAATTAATCCTGCATGTTGATGTATCTGCAGTTCATACACATACTTAAAGAGAACTAGAAAAATATACTATGTATCTGTATTTCTTGGGCAATCGTTTTTTTAGTAACATACTATAGGCCTAATTAAAACAGGTAAATACAGAGTCTGATGAGGAACTGTGAGAGAGATCTGAAACAACAACAGATTCTAGAAAGAGAAAAAGAGCAAAATGTAGAACTCAAGACACACCAGAACACAGAATCTTAAAGAAAAATGTAATTATTCGAGGAGTGAAATTCATGGTTTTCCCAACACGTGACTCATGAATTTTGATCCCCTGAAATTAACAGCACAGATACGTAGTCAGAAAATATATAAAGTCAGATTAATTAGGAACATTACATTTATGTTTCTTCATTATAGAGAGTACTCAGCAAATTTTAACTTCAAAAATAAACTTCCAGCATATTTAAAAGAGATCATTTTATAATAATTTATAATTTTATAACAACAATAACAACAACAATAATTCACTCTGGTTTTGTGTCTTTTAGTTCCAATTACTATTCAAGTAGAACATGATACAAATTATGCAGATTTGCTTTAATACTAAATTTAGCGAACGGTATCAATGGCTACTTTGCACCAGTTTGTTCTTTTTCAGTATCCCCCTTAATATTAAAGAGCCTTTCTTCCTCCCTATTGCATTTATGGACTGCAGTCATATCACCTCCTAGTCTTCATATTTGCTGCTTTTTCATTAAATAAGACAGGCTGTTCTAATACCATCTCATAAGAAACACTCTTCCTTGACCGGTTGCTTTTGTGCAGTTGGCCCAGTTTCAACTAATCTCTAGCACAGGAGACCAGAAATCCCTGTTCCTTGTCCATTTGTACATGACAGTGATAAGCCCTCATCATTGTTGGAAATTTTCTTTCTTAACATATTCTAGGATTATATTTTTCGCAAATGTATCACATTGCACAGATACATCTGAGCTTGTCATCAGCCGAAGATGAATACATCTACCCATTCTTTCAGCCAAGTGCAGTTACATAATGTGTTTTCTTCTGCAGCAAGGTCATAATAAAGAGCTCTTGTCCCAGTTAGAATCATAGAATGGTTTGGATTGGACAGGACCTTTAAAGATCATTTAGTCCCAACCTCCCTACTGTGGGCAGGGACATTTTTCACTAGATCAAATTAATCACATTTCTCCTTATTTCTTTTGTCATAGTCCTTCTAAAATCTACTCTAAAACTTTGTATGTCACTAAGATTGCATTTACAAACTTGCGTATATTTAAATCATCTTTTTTCTTCCCTTCCTAAACCAAGGAACCTCTTGTGCTTTCTTTTGCCACATGGTACCACTATGCTCACGACACCCATTATAGGTTCTTCAATAGCTCGTCTGCCTTCTTAGAATTTTGGAATGGAAATTATTCAGTATCACCTTCCAACTGGAATGTTGTTTTTACCTTTGCTGTACAACTTCTATTTTCAGACCTTCTTTTCTGTCACCTTTCTTTAACCCTCCACAATTAGCATTGTCCTTACTAAATCGTGGAACAAAGTGCTAATTTAGTTCAAGATCCATTCCTAGGTCATTATTAATCACCCACACATGTTCTCTGCATTGTGGCCTTCCTTTGTAATTTGTTTTCTTTGCACTGAGAAAACTGAAGACCTTTTATGCTGCTCATTTCAGTATCTTCGCAATGTCTACATTGAGTTTAATTTTTGATAACTCTCAGCTTATTACTTTATCTCCCAATTTAGGGTGAGGATAGGGGGCAATTGACAAGAGGTGACTGCAGAGTTTCAGTCGCTAATATGCAGTATTAGATTCAGTAGTATAGCAACAACAAACGGCCTAATCCTTGGTTTATCCAGGGTC